AAATAAATACAGGCATGCTGTCCATCTACAACTTAAAAAAAAGTTCAGCTTTCCTTAGGAGGAAAGGCTAGGTGTGGCCTCAAACCTTTGACACACCAGACCAAGATACCATTTCTCCTTTGATGAACTGAGTAAAGTTAAAGGCTTCCTTCCAATCCTCTACGCAACTTACAGACCCTGTCTCAAAATAAAAAGGGCTGGGGGGATGTGCATGTGACTCAGTGGTAAAGCACCCCTGGGTTCAATCCCTGGTACAAAAAAAAAAGCTTCCAATCTTCTCAAAATAGCAATTTAGACCTAAAGGGATGCCTCTTGAATAAGAAAAACATATGCCAATAAGTAAAAATTAAACTCAAGGTTTCTTTTCAGTATGTTATGCTTACATTTCAACTTTGAAACACTATAATTTATGGAGGGGGGGAACAGGTGGCCAAGGCTGGCACTTAATCTTGTAGGTCATCTCAAGAGATGAAGACATATCACAAACTAAATCAATCATTCTATAGGTGCCAGGCAACAGTGAAAGAAGGAGTACCTGCTGTCTAGGAACTCGCTGTACCATTTCCAGAAATATCATTCAAGTAACCTTCTATCCCTAGGAAAAATTGTAATTTGTATGTATTTGTAGGATTTGTGGCTGGTATGTGGTGACCAACATAGACACACTTAACTGAATGAATAAAATCAATGAGATCAGTGAAAACACAAACAAAAGAGCAGGGTCAAATCCTAATATAGCCCCCTAAGACTATGTAGCCCTGATCAATGCATCTCTGAACTTGATTTCACTATCCTAAGAAATGTGAATGTTGATACTACCCACCATGCCAGTCAATTGCTGGCATGTCACATACAAGCAGTTCCCAAATAAACAGAATTTATCAAATGATGAGTCATCTTCTGATAAAAAGTTATTGGCACAAGAGGGCTGGGGATGTGGCTCGGTGGTAGAGCGCTTGCCTAACATGTGTGAGGCCCTGAGTTTGATCCCCATTACCAAAAAAAAAAAAAAAAAAAAAAAAGCTCAAGGACTATTTTATTATAACAGAAATACTAGCTCTAAAAGCAGAAAAGCAAATTTCAACATGTACTTCATTTTCAAGGTGTTATTAGGCTAGAAAGAAACAGAATTTGAGCTGGGTGCAGTGGTACACACCTGTAATCCCAGAAACTCAGGAAACTGTGGCAGAAGGATCTCAAGTTTTGCAGTGGGCTTGGGCAGTTAACTTAGTGAGATCCTGCCTCAAAATAAAATTTTCTGTTTTGTTTTGCTTGATTTTGGTGGTACCAGGGACTAAACCCAGGAGCATGTAACCAATGAGCCACATCCCCAGCCTTCTTTTTATATACAGACAGGGTCTTGCTAAGTTGCTTAGGGCCTTGCTAAGTTGCTGAGGCTGGCTTTGAACTCACAATCCTCCTGCCTCTGCCTCCTGAGCCACTGGGATTACAGGCATGTGCCACCTGCCTGGCCAAAATAAAAGGTTGAAAGGGTTGGGAATGAAATGAAGCTCTGCAGTAAAGTGCCCCTGGTTTCAATCCCCAGGATGGAGGGGGTGGGGGTGGGGAAGCAGTGTGTGGGGGATGATTTTTCAAAAGGGGTTATACAATTGATCACATTTACATGACTGCATTTTATCATATGCAAATTATACCTCAATAAAGATGATTTAATAAATGATAAAATTTGCAATATATGAGCCATAAAATCCCCTCCAACTGTAAAATTCCATTACTTTCTAAAATCCAGTGACTTGTCCCAGGTCATAAACTATGCAAGACTATTGGCTTTGAGTTTACCATCACATCCAAACTACTAAGAAAACTTTATAAATATGATGATTACATTTACACTTAAGTACCACTGAAGGTGAAAACACCTATAAACTGATAGTCTGTGATTAACGCCTTTTTTGGGGAGTTTACCAGGGACTGAACTCAGGGGCACTTGACCATTGAGCCACATCTCTAGCCCTATTTTGTATTTTATTGGAGACAGGGTAGGGTCTCACTGAGTGCCTATCTCTAATAAAATACAAAATAGTGCCTTGCTAAATTGCTGAGGCTGGCTTTGAACTCGAAATCCTCCTGCCTCAGCCTGCTAGCAATTAGCACTTTTAAACTAGTATGTTTGTAATTTTTCAGGACAGACAATTAAAAGAAAATGTTATCCCAGAGGCTTAGGTGGCTGAGGCTACAGGATCGAAAGTCAAAGCCAGCCTCAGCAATTAAGCAAGACCTTAAGTAACTTAGTGAGACCCTGTCTCTAAATAAAATATAAAAAGGGCTGGGGATGTGGCTCAGTGGTTGAGTGACCCTGGATTCAATCCCTGGTACTTTAAATAAATAAATAAAATAAAATGTTAGAGAACAATCTGCAATGAAATGGAAACATGGTCATAGCACATTTTTAGGTGAAAAAAAAAGCAGGTCACAAAACAGAGCGATTCAATTTTTATAAAAATGTATCTACTGAAGGAAAAGATGTTTTATAAACAAAATTTTGAAGGCTACTAAACATTAGTTAATTGTGTCAGGAACAAAAAGCCTGTAATCTGTGATTTAGGAGGCTGAGGAAAGAGGATTCAAAGTTCAAGGCCAACCTCAAGAACCCAGTATATCTCTGTGTCAAAATAGAAAATAAAAAGGACTGGGGATGTGGCTCAATCCAAAGTACCCAAAATAAAATAAAATTAGTTAACTCTGAAGGGTAGTTTATTTGTCTTCTCTTTATTTTGTTAACTTGATTATTTTCAAACTTAAAAAAAGGGAATAGAGCTGCGATATGGCTCAGTGGTACAACACTTATCTATCATGTACAAAGCCCTGGGTTCTACCCCTAACACCAATTTTACAAAGTACACCAGTGTTACCTTAATGTTATTTATTTTGTAATAAAAGTAAGTTATAAGCCAGGCTCAGTGGCACAGTCCTGTAATCCCAATGTCTAGGGAGGCTGAGGCAGAAGGATTACAAATTGGAGGCCAGCCTCAGCAATTTAGTGAGACCCTCAATAATTTAGCAAGACCCTTTCTCTGCACAACCACAAGAATGGGATCATAATTAGAATAAGTTATACTCCATGTATGTATAAATGTCAAAATACACTCTACTATCATGTGTATCTAAAAAGAACAAATAAAGAAGGGGGCGGTGGTGCATGCCTATAATTCCAGCAGCTCAGGAGGCTGAGACAGGAGGATTGTAAATTCAAAGTCAGCCTCAGCGATGTGGAGGTGCTAAGCAACTCATTGAGACCCTGTCTCTAAATTAAATTCAAAAAAGGGTTGGGGATATGGCTCAATGGTCAAGTGTCCCTGAGTTCAATTCCCGGTACCAAAAAATAAATAAGTAGAGTAAAAATAAAAATGAAATAACAATAATGATAAAATGGAAGGGATACATCTCTGTTGTAAGCACCCCTGAATTCACCTCTGAGTTCAATTCCAGGTGAAAACAACGTTACAATGTTACAACTAGATATCATGGTAACATAAGTGGGAAACTTACTAGTGGTCTAGGTCTCTGTAAGCTACAGGAGGCTTACAGACAAATTTAGAGGTCCTGAGAGTATTGGGTTAGGAGATGGGTTTGCCCAGAACAGCTGCTACCTGCTTCATAGGAAGCCTTCATTCTCACATCTGCCAAAATACATATTCAGCTCTTCTACCTGTACTATAAACAGTCCAATATTAAAAGCCAAAAACATTTTGTAGGGGCTGAAAAATGTAGCACTTGAAGATTAACTGATCCCAATTTTATTTAAATTGTTTACAAGTTTACACACTTACTCCTAGACTGAAATAAAATATTACAGATTGAGGATGTAGCTCTGAAATAGAGCACTAGCGTATGAGAGGCCCTGGGTTCAATCCTCAGCACCACCAAAAGGAAAAAAAAAAAAACAATCTGCCAAACTGACATATCACTTGAAATGTATTAGATATCACTGGCTAATAGAATTATAGGTGACTTTTCCTTTTTCCTACATATTATGTACATTTTTCAGTTTTTCTGCAGTAATTCATATCATTTATAGGCAGGAAAAAAAGTGCGGTAAAACAATTTTTTTTGGTTAATATTGCCAACTCTATTCCTTAGTGACCCTATAGTTAAAATCCATTAACCGATGAGCATCTGTGACAGAAAAGCAGTAACAGCTGCACACAGACCCTGTACACATATATACAATTTATGTTCAAACACCCTGATTCCTGTGGGCTTCATCACAAAGCTTTAAACCCAAAGAGATTACCTCATGTGTTTTAGTCTATAAACATGTCCATTCACAAAAATGCAGACTTTAAAAGGTAGAGAAAATATGACTTTTTTAATTTAAAGAATCTACCCACAATGCAAGAGAATTCATTTCAGATTATTCTGTACAAGGCTAAAAATGACAGAATAAATGAAGGAGAGTCTAAAGAGATTGGTGTTCTCCCCTTATCTGTAAACTTGTATTTCTTCAAAAAATTCCAAGTTATGAAGGGGAGGACCCTATCAGGCTCTCACACAAACAGCAAATAAGCCATAGCAGTGCAATCATTTAAAGATCACACTGATGACCTGACAGGCCTTAGGAATTGTGATCAATTGAAAAGATGGCAGAAAATTCCTCTATACAATATTTGTTGGCAAAAGCATCATCTTGGTTTCACATGGAAGAAATCAATAAAAATAACTTGAAATAATTTTCTTTCTTTGTGGGGAAAAAATTGCCATTCATTACAAGTGTTTTTCTTTGGGGGCATCAAATAAAACTATGAGGACCTTTAGGGATGCTGAATTTTCAGGAATCAGTGAAATTTTAAAAGTTATTTTTAAGAAAGAAATCTCTGAAAAAAAAGAAAGCTAATTGTCAATTATCAATAGAAAGATGCTACGATTTTTATCCTTGAAAATACCTAGTGACATATTTATACAACAAATGATTTGACACTACAAACTATACTGAAAGTCATCTGTCATTTAACCTGGAGGAAACATGGTCATATCCTTACCTAAAGACTGGTAGAGCTCTGTCATTTTGGGATGGTCCCAGCATGTTGTTTGGGTCTCGTGGCTAAAACACAAAATAAGAAGAATCACTTTAGAATTTATGATGGGCAGTAGGAAAAATGGGGGAGAGTGGCAGGGAACAAGATGTTTACTTTTGAATCATTTGGCATCTTTACTTCCAAGGACTTTCATAGAGTAGTGAAGACTGTTTATCTTGCAAACAGAAAGGCCTGTCGTCATTTTTTTTAAAGGGAAAAGCAATATGAACGTTATTTGGTTCCAGAATTTGTTTCTTTTTTTGTACCCACAAATCGACTGCATTTCTGTTATAATAAATGGACCCTGTTATGTAATCAATAATCAAAGATGAGAATTTCTTCACCCATTCAATGTGGAATATACAGAAAGGACACTGACAATTGATCGCTATTCAATTCTGTCACGAGAGATACTGGACATTAGTTCCATGGCTATAAATCACTTCACTTCTCACTCGCTTTCACCACTGGGACCCTTCTCCATTACTCTTCCCTCTCCTTATCCAGATCTCATATCTGTGACACTTGTATTCCATTTCAGCTTAAGGTATGGCCAGCACCCAACTAATATATCATACCTTCCTTCTTCCCATTACTTTTAGAATGTCTTCTTAACTCAGTATTCTCTACACCACTTCACCTCTTCCTATATTTACTTTGGCCTGAATGAAGCATTCATAGTTCTCCATTTCTCGGGAGTGTGGTTGCCTGCTATCAGCTCCTTCCACAAAAGGAACAAAACACCTTTGTTCCTCATTCAATTACATGAATAAACCCAAGAGAGATAACTACATATACTTTTCCTTACTTTGGCCCATCTACATAAATCACCATAGCATCATATTTCCAGTTTCGGGGATTACATGATGGGCTATGATAACACAAAATGCAGTTTTGAACAATTTTTCAGTATGCAGAGCCTATTCATAATCTTTTAGGGGGAGGATAGGGAAAGGAGAAATTACTTTAATTGGGGTACTTCAAGGGCACCAGAAAGTATAGAGGCCTCACACAAAAAGAATTTGGAGAGGGAGCAATGTCACAGGGACTCAGCACAGGTTTGGATTTTAGGGCTTTGCGCCCAACTGTTTGTGAAATTTGAGGCAAGGCTACTCACCAGAGAGAGTTAAATTACTACTACGTGATATAGGAAATTGACTATCACATTTTGGTGCTCAATATGTGGTTGTTTTTGTTATTATGTGGCCTTCAAATTACTGTCCATTAAAAGCAAACCTTGTATTAGTTGATTACAATACAGATGTGAATCCAACTGCAGTAAGCCAGTCACCCTTCCTAGACAGCAAAACATAACACTCACTGGTAATACCTTTGTTTTAAAAAATAAAAAGTAGAAAACATAAAGGAGTTTCATAAAAATTATCATAAATTGAACAATGACATATGGAAATTAACCAAACTGTACCACTTCAAAGGCCATCCCTATGATATTTACCATTCACTGCAGAGCAGAGAAGACTAATGAAATCAATTTGCAAGAAAATGTTCACTTGTGATCCGGCTCCCTCATGTAATCCCAGGCTGAGGCAGGAGGATCACAAGTTCAAAGCCAGCCTCAGCAAAAGAATGAGGCTAAGAACTCAGTGAGACCCTGTCTCTAAATAAAATACAAAAAATAGGGGTGGGGATGTGGCTCAGTGGCCAAGTACCCATGAGTTCAATCCCTGGTACCAAAAAAAGAAAAGAAAATGTTCACTTGGGAAGCGCTGTCTCACTCTCTTCTAAATAAATGTTCATTTCTGTTTTATTTTTCCACAGAGAAAATGTACATTTGAGGAATGTTAACAGGGGCTTATCAGTTGAGGGAATGTAACAGAGTGACATGGAAGTCTTAGGAGTAAGAAGAGCAGGAGATGCAGTCCATGCTTTAGGGAGTATTAGGAAACCCCATGACCAAGCCAGTTTCCGATTTGGAGAGGGGCAGGCAGGACTGGTACTTTACATGCACAGCACAAAGAGACCGCAGCTTGCAGCTTCATGGGAAAAGTGTTGCTTGTTCTTCGGCATTTTTTAGCTTGCAGAGTGATGGGGTACCAATTTTGTACACAGGTGCACAGCAAGTAAAGGTTACCTTTTATTGAAACCAGCCTGTACTTAGGTCTTCCCCATTTCCAAAGGTCATCCAAATATGAGCACCAGGGAGGGAAGAAGGGAAACACACCTGTGCCCACATGTGCAGGCCCTTGTTTGGCACAGTGCATAATGAAACAATATCCTATTTCTAGGATATTTGAGGGACAGTAGCATCTTCAATGGATCTGAAAAAAACCATTTGCCTAAGCTGATAAACCTGACCAGAGACAGAGAACCACCCTGAAAAGTCACCACCTAGAATATACTTCAAATCGGAGGAGTATGGCAAGGAAATTGACTTGTACCAAATGCAACTTGTACCAAATGAGAAACGTGCATAAAATTTACAAGAGAATCACAGAGAGAGAGTTAATGAAAGCTTCATGCAGTACCCCCATCTGTGAGAAAAATTCTCATGACAATATACCTACATTACCACCTTTCAAATGAATTTATTTTGCAGGTTAAAAATTATGAAAAAGGTTTTAGAAATTATTTTTTGAATCCACAAGTCCTTAACAAAACTGAAATTTACTTTGCTGGAAGACATAAGAAATTGTCAGCTCCATATCCCATCCCTTATTTGTGTGTGGCAACCATAGTCCTTGATAGGTACTATTCTACAAATTACCTGTGATTTTGATTTTAGAAAACATGAATAACACGGATAAGTGAACTCCTTAAATAATTCCAAAACCCAACCTTTTAAAATTTTTTTTTACCTTCCTCTCCTCCAACACACACACCCTTTATTTTTAAGCAATGCAAAGTAACCAGAAAAACAGATTTAGATTTCACCTTTGCAGTCTTAGTTTCACTTCATCTGCAAACCAGTACTAAAAGAAAGAAGTGAGCACAAGCAAAAAGAAAAGAAGAAAGGGTGTGACTAAGTCTCAAAACTAGAAAAATAATCTTTTAATCAGTTAATGCTAAAAATGCTTGGCAGCACAGCTGAAAGGACTTCAAATTTTTGAGCAACTACATGATAAAACAAATATTCACTTTACTGTATGTGGGTGTTTTCTACCTGTGGTGAACACAAGGTCCTACTGGGACATATTTAACACCCTCAAATAGACAGGAAAGATGGATATGGATCCCATGAAATGATAAACACAAATCTACGTAACTCACATCTATATTCTACCTCTTAGAACAAACTGATTTTTTTTTTTTTGCCTGTGATCAATACGGTTTTACAGCTGTATTTCTTACTCTGTGCCTGTCTTCAAAAACAAGAAAATTCTCAATAACTCCATGACAGACAGCTCACATTTATCTGGAACTCGCAGGCAATATAGAAAAAATATGCCCTGCACTCCACTTTCCACTTTAGAAATACCCTCCACAAATACCACGTCCAAACAAAAAGGAAAATCTGAAACCTATTCATACATTAATGGGTACATCTTTGTTCAGCCTTCCAGAGAACAATGATGTTCAACATAGATCACAAATCTGTATGTACATTAACACAGAGATTGCCTTCATAAATAATCCTTAAAACACTCTTCAAATCTTTACAAAATTCTATTCATTTTGGCCCTGCTGGTCCCAAAGCGTGGCATCAGATATACCTCTCTGAGCAGTCTTCATGCTAAGATTCCCCCCCAACACACACACTATTTTTTTATTTGTACAAAACACAATTACCTCTCTTTTTTTCATTTTATCTGAGGCTATGATAGGAACCTAATGCAAATTAAAATATAAAATAATTGGTCTATGAAAAAAGACCCCAGCAACACCTACTTGTCAATAATAAGAAATTAAAGCATTACTCTACTGAGCACAGGGCTGACCTAATTTCCTACCATACAATTTAAATTTTCTCTCACCTTCTTTAGTTTCAAGTAGTGTGCAAGGTTATTATAACCACCTCAGAGCTGTTCCTGCTGTCAGTGCTGGAATAATCAGACTTATTGGAAGAGCGTTTTTAGTTTCTTAAAAACAAACATTAAACACTTATAAAAAGTAACAAATATCTACTGCTCTCACTGGGGAAATGGCAGTTGCCTAATTAAAATAAGATTTCTTCTGCCACCACTGTTATTTGGTACTGAAAATATTCTGAACAGTTGCCTTTAAAAAAAATATATCTTTCCACTACTTCCCAGGGAGGAAACTAATCACTATGCTGTGATATGAAAAGGTAGAGTTCTCTTGCGATTTGCAGAGGATTAGTTTGGCTTCATATATAATCTGGAGCCCATTGATCCACACACACAAATGATTTCCCTTTAATCTGGGGATCAGACTCTTTTTCTAGAGGAACCTTGGCATCTGCATGCTGAATTGTTGAACTTGGCTTGCGCTGCTGGAATATTGGCAGGGTGGGGATGGGAGAATATACTTAAAAGTTTCTGCTACTGTGGGGAAGGGGCTTAGAAGGATGGGTGTCAATCTAAGCATCACAAATCCTATTCTACTTCCTATTTCATGTTCCCTGGATATTTAACATTTTTATTCTGTTTGGCTCAATCCAGGGCAAAGATGATTGCCTCAGTGGCTGTTCCAGCTGTTACTTGTTCTCCGTCTATTTGCTTTTCAAGGTTTGCCTCCCACCCACCCTCAACTTTGGCCAAAGCAATTTCACTTCAGGGTCGTGTCCAATCCAAGATCAAACAATGATGACTGAAACCAATTCCACGGTGATCAAGGGTCGGAGACCTTTCATATAAGCGTGTTGTTTCGTTAGCTCCTCTCACTTCTCTGGGAACAACTGTCTTCTCCAAAGAGGTGCTGTGGAACAAGGAAATTACAAAATCCAGGCAGAAAAAGAAAGCGTGATGGGGGGGCGGGGGGGAGACGACAAGAAGAGATGACAGGTATAATGAACCAGAGGGACCAAGAAGAGCTTATTGGCCACGGAAGAATACAGATTTTTCACTTCAAGACTCGGCTTGCCACTTAAAGCGGATGGATTTTTTTC